CAAGGCCAGGTTGGATGGGGCTCTGAGCAATCTGATCTAGATAGCAGTGTCCCTGCTCACTGCAGGGGGGTTGGACTAGATGACCACTAGTGGTCCCTTCCAACCCTAAACATTCTATGATTCTATGATTCTAAGTCTAGGCAGTTTCGATAGCTTCAATTTTATTTGAATAACTGTTCCTTGAAAAAAGACACCAGTCACTAGCAAAAGTGTCTGAGGTACAGCCACCACACTACAGCCACAGTTTTTGCAGTTGGCAAAAAAGAGCTAAAAGGGTACCTTGCGATGGCCCATGCATATTATTTGAAGGAGGAGTAAACATGTATATATCCCCAAAGACAGATCTCGTTCATTCCACAGAATTCCAAAATCTCAGGGAGTGTCTACATGACAAAAAGAATTTTGACTGCTCACAAAAAGGCTTAGATTTTAAGGCCAGAACCTTCATACTAACAAAAGATGTAAAATGCCTCCAAATTATCCAAACCAAAATATTAGTTACCATTCCACAAATTATTAGAATCACAAACTTATTAAAAAAAGACTGTAGACTGACGTGCAAAATCATAAAAGATGCACCCTCCAACACTCATTGATAGCTGACCAAAGCTGTGCTTGAGGCTCCAGTGCTTTTGCTTTGTTTTTTTTTTCCTAAAGCAAACACACCAAAACATTGCAATTTGTAGTGCTACCATAACCTTCTCTCTCATTGTTATTTACATTTCTATTAGCTTCCTGCATTTTTTTTTAAAGCATGGCTCAGATCACTTAGAAGATTGTCTGTGCTCAATATATTAAACCTGAACAAAAGCGTGCCATAGGTAGATACACAGAAAATCAAGAAATGTGATGGTGACATTGGCAAATTGTGGCCCCCCATGCAGTATAGTACAAAGGATGATAAAATACTTCATACATGGGAGTTCCACGCCTGAATACTTTAGGAAATGATTGTGTAAGAGAGTCAATAAAGTTAAATTCCACAGCAGCTATATGAATGACTCTGTGCATTACCTACTTGTAATGAAAGGCTGTGAATCCATAAATTCTGCTATTTTCGAGTCCTCCCTTCTTTTTTATTATAAAACTCTAAGCTACAGTTAATGATAATCTTAGAAGTGGAATGAAACAAATCAAAGCTCCTTGCCAAAGCATTCCTTCTTGTTTCATTTGCAATGCTGAAAAAATTCACATAGAGCAGACAAGCATTTCAAAGTCAATCACAAGAAACTGAATTTTTTGTGCAAAATATTACTCACATTGAAATCACGGAAAGTAAATTAGACTGCAAGTGAATTGCACAGAAGTGTAAAACAAAATTTTCAGAAATGTCTTCAGAACCACCATTACTGCTTGGATTCCCATGGGCTTGAAAGGACTGTGTGGGTTTCCAAATAGCAAGAGACAGCTTTGGCTGCTCCTTCAGTATGAGAGAAAGGAGCAGGCTCAAAATCCAGAAAACTAATCTTTCTATTCAAAGATATTTATACTGGTAAATATGGGTCTTGGTAATGAGCAACAGCGCAGTCTGCAGTAACAAGTGCAGCTCTATTTTGAAAAGTCTAGCAAAATCAGCTGGGTTATAAAAATCTCCAGCTTTAAAATGCTCTGGTAGCTCCACTGTCCAAACTGTCACAAAGCACCAAGACTTTACACAGGGTAATTAAAGACTTATTGTTAATCCATGTGCTTGGCCTACTGCTTAAACGTCACCACTCTCACATGTTGTCAGCATGATATTAACCGAACCAGTTTTTACTATTAAGCCCTGTTAATTCTTGTTAATGTTAGCATGTTGTTTCTCTGTATCTGTATTGATGGTTAAACATAATACCTCTTTCTCCACGAATTCTACTGCAGAAATGAGTTTGACCAAAAAAATATATTAGAAGCATTCTATCATAAGGGTACACAGGATCTGTGCAACAGCTTTCTCCTCATTTGTGATACTAAGCTATGAAACTAGGTTTGAGTCCCACTGGAGGCTGATCAGATGTGACCCACCATGGCACGAGGAAACAATACAGAATGCGTAACACTGATGGGGATAACATGCTAAGAAAACCGTGGTAGGTGCAGAACATTTGAGGTGTATGGTGGAAGAAAAATCCCTTACATACAGGATGGGTTGTACATTGTATATGCTATTACTGAACAGGAAAATTGTTTTTTTCCTATATATACCAAATGTCCTAACATTTATTGATGCAGGCTCACTAAAGCATTGTTATTGGTTCCCTCTTATTACTGGAAGTTCTCTCCAGGTTATATTTAACTTTTTACATCTTTTTTTCTAAGCCTCATCACAATCTCAAGATTCCATAGTACAGCCTGGTCTTTTGCTTTCTTGGTTATTTCTAACAAGGAAACTCATAACATTAACTTTTGGTCTTTATGTCTACATGCAAAACCGTATCATCCAAGATTCCACAAACAGCTTTTATTTCTTCTAATTAAACCACTCATTCTTTCTTAATATTCCCATTTTCATTTTCTCAAGTTTAAAAAGCAAGAAATCATGTGACACAAATCCTAGTTAGCAGGATGTTGGTGCTCTGTGTGACACTGCACAGATGCTTTTTTTCTGTACTTGTTCTACCATTTAATACCTCTATAACTAAATTAATATCAGCAAGTAACAATAACACTATAGTGCAGCAAGCTTAAATAAAATTCTAGCAGCTTTCAGGGAGTCTCTTCTGTTTTACTTATCAAAAGTTCTGAAAGTGAAGTGTTTAGCATTTTTTTCATACTGAGAATCATTGTTTGATATTCAAATATTCATTTAATTACTACTTAGTACCAATACTGATTTCATAAATAATGACAATAATAGGATCAACACAGCTAAAAACAGAACAAAGCCACAGAGCAATCCTTGGGTCAAACTAAAGGAACGTAAAAATATTTGGAAACGATCTTCATGCTTGTTCACAACACTGTTCATCAACAACATAACAGATCGATATTCCACTGTTCATAACTCTTAATAATATTATGACTAGTAACATAATCAGTGGCTTTTTAAACACAGAATTGCATAGTAAGCATATATAACTCATTCTTATTACACTAAGTGGTTAACATAGTTTGCCATCTGAGCTCTGGTAACTATAGCTATCAGTTCTAAGGCAGTCTCAATTCCAAAGCAAAAATTATAAACAGCTCAGTGACTTGATGCCAAATAAGTATAAAAGAAATTTTATTCATGATAAAGCAAACTGAGAGTGTGTCTATTCTGAAATTATAGGCCATATCAATTCTTCCCCAAAATGAAGGATGAAACTAAGCGAATTGCAAATATTTGTAAGTTTTTTTTTTTTAAATCTACTTCTTTTCCACATTGAAAATTAGGTGTGTTTGAAGATGCGCACTGAATAATGTTCGCACATCCCTGGAGTCAAAGAGGATAAAGGCTGCCATTAGTGGGCCTTTCATCATAAAGCTGCTGAAATAGCATAAAAATTCATTCTTGCCTTTTGTTCCCTTTCAACTGCTTCATTTTGATACGAAGTTATTACCACCAGGCTCCCCAAAAGAGTACTTTGGTCAAAGGCCAACACTGATACCTTCTCCAGGCTGCTACGAACTACTTCCCTTTCCTGGACTGGATTCAATTTGCTTAGTTTTTGAGGAAAACAAAAGCAGACAAGACAGTCCCTCTTATATTATCTTAATACTCTGTATTACACTTCTATTCATGACAGGTTTCTAATTAACACTTAAGGCTATTAAATTATTCTGAGCAAAAACCAACAGAAAAGACAACTTTGTTTTACAAGTAAAAATGTTTCTGTTACTTGTACTACATTACTAGTCATTCGTAGAGCAAAATGTATATCTACAACAATCTTGAGAACATTAGGTCACTTCATTCCAACAGCAGCATAACCAGTTAAAGATGAAGCATTTGGCTCTTATGTAGAAAATAAACTTAAATAAGATTGCAAATTTTGCATCTAAAACATAATAGAAAATCTTAATAATATATTTATTACTGCCTTCAAGGCCTTCCGCTCCCATAACAGACAACCGATGTGTCTAAACTCACATTTAAGAGCAGAGTGGCAAAACACAGTATTAAAAGCAGCCATTACTGAAAGTTCCTTAGGACATACTAGACAGTGAAAAAATTTTACTTCACCACCAATGAGCTACAAGATGATTCAGATGATCCTTAATTATATTTTATTATTACAAACATTAATTGTCTCAATAAAGTTTAACAGGTATGGATTACTTGAATAAAATGCTTATAGGTTTGTCAGTAACCACTGTAACACCCATGTAGTATTGTTCCCACTCATAATAATGCATAATTACTAGAACTTGGAATAGTTATTTAAAGTCACTGGTTCTCTTCCAAGGAACGTATTAACACATTTTAAATACTGATCTTACCACTCCTGGGAAGATTTTCTGCAGCCTGTCTGCTGCTGCAAGCGCCTTAGGCTTCCCACCGTTAAGACAGTCTTCAAACTCATACAGTGTCTGTCGTACTGGGTTGGAGTAGGAGATCTTTGCATTGTCCACAAAGGTAATCTTCCTGACTCCCCAACCCTAAACAAGATAGTGACTTTAATAATGATAAGTACAATGGGCTTAGCCATATAGTTTTGAGTAATGCCAGAAACTCAAGAGGAGTTTTGTCCAATTTTTCTAGAAAGATCAAGCTACAAAAGCTTTTGAAGCTATTCACAGCAACAACCTTGTACTTGCACTGAATTAAGAGAGAAAATTTGTTCTGTCCAAATCTATCATCTAGCAGTAATCCCTCAAAACCCTACTGAATTCAGTGGGATGTGGCAAACATCCCTGAAAGTAAATATCAGCACAGTTACTTACTTCAAGTGCTTCACTGCGAATTGATCATATTAGCTTGATAATTTGTTCCAGAATTTCTTTTTCAATCTTTTTTATGTAAATTCAAAACAAATTACTGTTCTAAGGTTCTTTTACTGCCTGCTATTCTACTATTAGCAGAATTTCAAGTTACTTCCATTCACCACAGATCTTCCTCTTCCCTATAATTTGTACCAGCTAATATGTATTACGTGTACCTTAATAGAGAGGAATACAACTTTTCTGTTATGTACCGTGGCAGCTGCTCAAACAAAATAAAAAAAAAATCATAAAATTTATGAGAAACAGCAGATTCTTTTTAAGAATAACTCAGGACTTACCATCAAGGTCCTTGCAACACTACAACCCAGTGTACCAGCTCCTAGCAGCAGACACTTGGCAGACACAATTTTTTCCAAATCAAGAGTAGGCACCAACCGCCAGCACATCAATTTCAAATTAAGATCCACTGATGATTCTGCTAACCTACACCATGAAATAAATAGCAACACACTTCTGAATGTTTTTGTTTCTCCAACAAAGCAATTACTTTTATTTCAATAAGAAATAAGTTCAATACTTTTTTTCTTTTTAAAGGAGAAAAAGAATTCATCAATTCAACACATACATAATATGAAAAATGAAGTCCCCCAAGCATACTTCCACCTAATAATAAGGTGCATGACAAGGAGATCAGAAAAAACAGGTTATAGAATTCAATGAAAGTCACAGGCCTGTACCACTATGACCTATATTCCGCTCAGTTTTAAATGCAATGCATTTGAAATTTTAAACTAGAGTCAAAAATTGCAAATACTTCTGCTGCATGCAGTGCACTCTGCTCTATTAAGGTCCTTACCTCCGATAGGACTGTCCAAACAATATACAGTATATGTGTTACTGTATATTCTTACCTAACAGAAACAGATAGTCCTTGCACTTCGCATTTCAACTTGTTATGGCTTATGCCCAAGTAAAGAACACTTTAGCAACCTAAAAGATAATAAACAAACCGTTTGGGATCCATGCATTCACTGAGATTCACCATCCTTGGACCCATGCCTCCCTTTTGGTTTTTCTCCCATCCAACAGCTTTTGGACAATCTGTTTGACACATTAGAAAAAAAGGAAGAAAGAAGAAAAGAAAGAATGAAAGCCTTAATATCACAAGATAGAAAAAAGAATCTCTGTTGTATTTAACCTTGTTAGAAAAAAACCCAACTTCTAAAACTGTAAGTAAATTATCTGTATCTTAACAACCTAGTATATATTGCTATGCAAGTTTTGCTGGTTTACATCAACTGAAAGCACTGCTTCTTCATGTGCTTTACTCTCAGGTGTCCAATGTGCTGCTTTTGCCTGTTCAGATTGCTTCAAACCTAGGACAGAGATGGCATCATTCTTCATCAAGCCTCTGGATCTTTAATGCCAAACAGACTGCTATGTTCAGAACTCAGAAAATTCATTATTCAGAACTCAACAAATTTTGCTAAGTTCAATAACCTCTTCATGTTCCCTAGACCCTATCTGTAAATTCAATAGAGAATTATATATCCTAATTATATAACAATTAAACAATTCACAACAATGACAGGTAAAGCATTCAGAATCTCCTGAAGTCAAGAAATTTTGTGATACTGTCCTCTACACAGAAATTAAGTCTGAGTTTGTGTTCTAACTTTACAAGTTTATTGCTTTAAAATACATCTGCCTACCTCACTATGTGATTGAAGAAACAATTCCACTCTGTAGCAGGCTTCTGCCATTTTAGAAATAGAAAGTTTGCATCACATGAATTCACAGTTATATGCATTTTTTCTAGCTGAGGGACTACATACAAATTTAACAAGAAAAAAGAGACTAATTGCTAATTGCCTGGGGTTTGTATTTCATACAACACCTGGAGGACTTTTTTTTAAAATCAGAAACACAATTTAATGAGGACAAAATTAAAAGAGAATATGCTCTCTTCTTTCTTTTTCGAAGAAGGAACCATTTCCTTTACAGACATTTAAACAGAAATTCAAGCAATTTAAAATCCATTTGAAATAACTTAGCATAAGCAATGATTTAGTAGTATTAATTTATTTCTTCCGTCTTCACAGTGATTGAGAAGGGACAAAAAAAATGGGAAAGAATTTTTTTTTTTTAGTGGATTACCTGGGCCTAGGACTCTCTCAGGAAGTTTTATTTCAAAGATAATGCTGTGTGTTATGTCTCTCACTCCTTGCATGGTCCTATCTCTGAAGCAGAGCACTTCAACTGACTGGAAAATGCTGCTCCTGCCATTTAAAAAAAGATAAATAGAGACATGCAACTTCTTTAATAGGAAAGGGACTTTTGTAAACACTATCACACAGGTTTAATCTCTTGCAGATTCTGAATAAGGCTTTTTCTGTTAGTACTGGATCACTTGTTCAGATCAGCTATAAATAAAAACAATTGATTAGTACGTGAAAAGTACTAGTTTGTTGTGAAACAGCTCTAAAGAAATGACACTGTCAGCCTGTCCTCCGTCATTTATACAATGCTGCTGCACAAACTGCATATTTAGAGTAATAAAAAGCAGGGAAGCAAGAGCACACATCAGGTGACATGGTGTACTTTGCCATAGCACAAGCAAGAGCCTCTTTGTTCTCAACATGGTATCATTCTTCCTCCTTATGATTTAAGTCCACAAATCAAACAATTGGAACTTTAGTGCCTAAACCCCTCTGAATCTCAGAATGTATAAAGCTTTCTGGGCACTTACCCATCATTCTATGCTACAGTTCAGCTAGCAGCCCAGAAAACACCATACCTAGCTGAGCATTTCTTCTCCCTGTTGTGTGCTTTGTAATAAAATGTAAAAGTTAAGACTGTGAAAATGCAACTTAATTACATTTTTGTTACAGCAATCCAGTTTTGTATGATACTTTAAATGATACTTTTTTTTTTTCAAATACCAGAGCACAAAACTAAGTCCTGTCATGCCAACTTCTGCCCAACAAAAAATTCAAAAAGGTACACTATGAGAAAACCTAAGAGTATCTGATTTTTAAAATGTAGGTCTACTATTACTTGGCACTAATTAATTATATAAAATCACAGAGTACTTTAAACAAGATTTGAAAAAGCTAGAGGCTATTGGCAGGGTCTGAAGAATGTATTTCCAGGTACATGCATGGATGTGAGGACTAGGAATAACAGGAATTGTGACTGACAGAAATAAAAACCAGAATAATATGCAAAATCCAAATCTTTGAAGGGGAGTCACGTCAAGGTTAAAAGTTAAAACTCAGGTGGGTGATATGAGTAAAGTGCCACGGGGGGAAAAATGTCTGTTTTGCTATCAACTAATAAATAATCTTTGTGGGAAAGAATAAAATTGATACCATTTGTGGGCTGCCAGGATCAGGAAATTTCTCAGTGGCCATCCTGGGTAGTGGGATAAATTACATGGATCATAAACTCCAACTGTCACCTGCAAATACAATTGCTCTGAATGAGAAGTCATCTATCCATACTGATACTCGGTTCACAGTAAAAGTTATCTGTCATTTTTAATGTAAAACTTTTGTGCAGAGAATGCCTACACACACATTTTACAAACTTACAAATGTTTAATACATGCTCACACTAGACTTCAGACAAGTGTTTGCCACAGCTTTGAGATTTGTTCAGTTAAGCCTCTTCACAGACATTCACTTTTCACTACAGTATGTGCACCTTCATTACCTTCCTTAAACACACCATCATGGGAGAATCCCAATAACTGAAGTCTCACTCTCGAAACAATATTCTGTATAGATTTTGGCGATGATCCAAAAGTGAAAGAGGACAGGCCAGGAAGATGTCAAGTCAAAGGAAAAATAGCATAAAAATCACTTATAAGGCCAACCTTCAAGATGAGATCTATATAAAGGAAACTGGACATTCTGTCTCACGTTCAACCAATGTAATACCGTGCTCGTAATTGACACATCTAAACTAGGAGCTCTTGGCTCCTGCTTCTTTGCCTATAAATGGATTTAGAGTGACTGGTCTCAACTCTACCACATCAATGAGGTGTCTCTAGAGCAGTCTGAAATGCAAATGAGCCAATCTAATTGATGCAGATAGGAGAAACAGGGCCCACTCCCCATCCCTCCTCCCAGCCATACACTGCTACTGCTTTGCAACTGCTGACTCAAGCAGGCATAAGACCCAGTAGTAAGCTGATTCAATTTCATAAACTAGCATAAAATTAACTCAGCAACAGCAAAACTGTGTTTTTCTTCCAGGGGAGCAAGTTAATTTGGCTTACTGAAATACAAACAAACTCTATAGGCCATATTGATGCAATAAATCTTATCTGACAGGCATAAAATTTTGGCACTTCCCTCCAAAGTGAATATTAATCAATAAATACATTCCAGATGATTACAGATTTCTCTCATATTGAGAATGTCCCTATCTAATTAAGTATACTCTTATCTGTGAACATTATTGTAGTTATACTACCATTTAAAAATCTCAACCTTCACATTCTTATTTTACAAAGAACAACTGTGGACCTAGTCTTAATTTCAGAAAAATAAATTTGGAAAAGCAAAAAAATAATTGAAGTATTATAAAACAGAACTAAATAACTTTTATAAGGTGTGACAAGACCTCCTTAAAAAAAAAAGTCTTTTTTGCGCTTATTAGCTCTTCATCATAACTCAGAGTTTTGTTTCCTAACACTTCAGTGATATGCAAGATAAAAAAAAATTTGAAGTTCACCAAAAATAAAGACAGTAAAGTGTTCAGAAAAGCTTAGCAAAGTTCAGCAGCTCAGCAACATGATCCAAAACGGAATTCAATGTACATAAACACAAGCCAACCACAGCCATCTTGCTGTGATGACATCTGCTTCATGTATCATGACAATTCTTCCCTAACTGAAAGCAATAGTACTCACTTTACATTGAAAGGACATGCATGATCTTTGCATTTATCAAGAAGTAGACCAGCCTCTTCTGGTGCACAACCCATCTATCTTCCAAAGTTACACAGCATTTACCTTGAGCATTCTTCAGATCCAGACTCCCAACAATTTTTATCCAAAGCTCTCATGTTATAACACGTACATGTGGCAAAACACACACTGGAAGTTGAAAACTCCCATAATTCTGATTACTGTTCCACAACTGACAAATACATAAAGTATATCAGTACCAACTTTTAGTACATAAATAATAAAAGAAGTGTTTTGCATTATTATACCATTGTAGGTAAAGCAGTTGGAAAATCTTAAGCACTCCTTCACAAACTTAGTTTCTGTTTTGATAATGAGGGAGACTGAGCACTTTGTTTTCAAACTGACCATTAATCTGATAAAACTGTGCTTTTGCATAAGAACTAGAGACACTTCACTTGACACAAAAATCAATCCAAGCTGCTGGGCTTCAGCTATTTACCCAGGCTATTCACTGGCCAACCATTGTACCCAGCTCAGTATTATAGACACTTTTCAAACCATTTGTAAATTAAACGTTTGTAATTTATAAAAAGACATAACATTCTCATTACCTTTCCCCCTTGGTCTTGGAAGAAACCATCCCACTTTTTCAGTAGAGATATCATGACAGAATTGTCATGATACTTGATTAAAAAATAAGGCAAGGCTGTAATCCCCTCTTTCTGGCAAAGTTCATCATATGCCTTCTGAAGTGCTTGAATCTAAAAGCAAAAAGACAACTATAACCAACAGTTTAAACAATCTTATCCAGAACCACTGAAAGTATTTCAGCATCTGGGAAGGCTAGCCCACTCAAATAATTTTAGAATATAGCGTATTCAGAAGTTTTAAACCCATTATGACCATAATAACTGAGATAAAAGATTCAGTTGCTAAAACAGCATTTGTCAGTGCAAATTTTAAACAAGGGCAGTATTATCATTGCCACAAACTGATCTGCCAATAGATAGTAAAACAAGATAAAAATCTCATTCCGATAATCACAGTAGCTTTATAAGAAAGTAAATCTGTCCCTCTACTATTAGCAAAAGAACCGTCCCATTCAATTTATTTTGTTATATGTGTTTTCTGTGTTTAGTTGAAACTCTGTCTTTGAATCATGACAGGTATTTTTACACTACTTATTACTATAGAACCAATGAGGGTCTTCTGAGAAGAAAGGAACTAAGCATTTTTCACTGAAAAATACCAAACTGTTTCTCCTTGATTATTATGCCAATAAAAAGCCATTCAAGTTTTTGCATTAACTTCTGTCAAAGCAAAAAGGCACATGTTGGCAAGTTGATTTTTTTCATCCTTTTGCATTGTAATATGAAAGAAACTACAAAAAAGTTAACTTTTTGCCTAAAAAAAAAACAAACCCGTATCCAGTTCTTTTTCTTGTTTAATAATGCATTTTATTAATGATTTTGTAATTGCTAATCACTTAGCTCTCCCAGGGGTTGCCCCTTTAAAAAAAGTTTCTTAAAAATAAGAGTTTCAAAACCATAACCATATATTCGGTAAGATGCAGATAAAAATTAAAATTAATATAACCGCCTCTTCAAGAATTATTTACCACATCTGCATCTAAATTAATAAAGCTGAAGTGATGTTAAGCTGAGAGATCTTATACAGTAACAAAAAAAAGAGGTAAAAAAAACCCCACATGGAAATAAGAAAAGTGAAAATTTTAAAAGCAATTGGATTCTCCAATTAATTCAGGATGTGCTAACGAAAACATTACGTTTTACAACCCAGAAAACTGCTGAGTGCTACAGACTTCATAACATTTAGTATTTTGAGTACCTGATTTAATGGGAATCTGTCACCAAGACATACGGGTTTCTGAATTATATGTATTCCATCAGGAAAGCAGAGAGCAGGGTAGCAAAACCAGTAATAGAAATGATATTTTTTTAAATCCTAGAAAAAAATGTTTGTAAAATTAGAAAAAATAAATCAAAGTAAATTACGGTTTGGAATACTAATCATAATTGATGGTTGATGATACTAACCATGCTAACCATAATTCTCTTTACTTCACAAGGCACTGTGTCATGATTTTAGAAAATCATAAAAACAGTACTAGAAGAGTGCCCTTCTCTGGACGTTTTTATTTAAGATTTAAACAGACAATGTGTGTACAACACTTTAGTTTTTGTTAGCTGGAGCATTATTTGTTAAAACATTCAATTTGTTAAACATGAAACAGTTGCTTTACTTTTACTAATATCTGTAAGGCCATCAGATAACCTTATACATTTGTAGAAAAGAATATGAGATGGCACTGGCATTTTTTAAAGAATACATCCTAGAATATTTTATATCAGTGCATGAGAATGGCTTATTAGTTTTTTTCAAAATGTTTTCAGACATTTTAAGATGTCTGAGAATGATCCTGATAACATAAATATGCTAATCCTAATACAGCATTTCTCCTAAAAAGGAACTACTTCATCATTTCCACTACAATGTTCTAAGCATGAGACATATTCTCATTACTCACTGCGAATGTCAGCAGCAGGAACCTGTTCAAGAGCAAAGGGTTTTCAAGAGCAGCTCCAGATTTAATTGATTCCCATATCTGCATTGATTGTGGGGACAGGACGGAAGAGAAAGGGCAGAGAAACAAAATACCAAGGTAGTATGAGAACAGCTGCAGAAATCTTTAATTCTTCCAGCTACCTTAAAAATAGTGAAATTAACACTCCCAGCAATCCACTGTGATCTTTTCCTAACTGATCTCATCCATGCTATTATCCATGCTAAAAGGATTCTAAAGGCAAGACATGCACTCTCGAGCACAAAAGATTATGGAAGTTGGGGAACAAGAGGAGCATTAATTCATGGATCAGGCATGGAGCATCAAATGAAACAAAACAAACCTCATCAGCAACAGTCCCTCATGTATATGAATTATTAACACCAGCACAATATGGAACATACTGTGGTATTAATATAGCCTTTTATTGCCCTCTCATCTTTTTCATTCATGGGATCTGTAGATACCAGATATGTGAATAAGCTACTAGGAAATTTGACCAAAAAAAAGGTACATGCAAGAAGGCAGTACACTGCATGTTGGTGAGAAAAGAAGCTATAATACTTGCATGAGGCAGACCTGTTTGATCTTTGTCTTAAAAAAAATAAACAAAAAAAATTCAAGACCAAATAAAGCATTCTGACACTCCTACTTTCCCTAAAGATAAATATTGCATCATACCTACCAGTGGCAGGTAAATGCTAGGCCGCAGGAACACAAAAAATTCACAGCTTTGAGTGCAGATATGCATGAAAACTTTGCTACTCAAGGCCAGCAGGCAGATAATCAATCTAATTAAAGAAATCAAGAACTGACAAAAGTGGAGTGTCTCAAAAAGAAAAACGTTGCCTTGGTTTGATTTTCACTTCTCTCCAAGCAGTGATATTTAACTTAGTTCAAGTGCAAGCAGATTAGCCCCTTCCTTTGACAGCCATCTTTTTCTTGCTTTATCTCAGTCTTCTGGCCATCCTGGAACTTCCCCATTACTTTGTCACACAGATGTATTGCAATAATCTAAAGTTTAAACCACACACTTGCTGATTTCTGGGTATCAAGACAAATTTTAAAAACATTGTCTACAGATCTCAAGTCACTGGCAGCTCCAATAGCACTGTTAAGCTTAAAATGTGGCCTAGTAGAACACTGTGAATGAAGTCCTCCAAGTATAATTAACTACTTTCTACTCTCTTGCAAAGAACAGTAAAAAGCAAAGATCAAACCTATCAGCGTTTAAGAGGCATTTGGACAATGCCCTTAATAATACGTTTTAAGTTTTAGTCAGCCCTGAAGTGGTCAGGCAGTTGAACTAGATGATCATTGCAGGTCCCTCCCAACTGAAATATCCTGTTCTATTCCTTCCAGAATAAGTTAAATTGTGAGTTAAATACAGGTGAGCCCGTAGTAGTCTCTGTTTGGGACAGAGACTACAAAGCACTTCACTGGCTATTTCAAAACCCTTTCTCTCTACCAGTTGATTTGATTTTTAATCTTACCTCATTTGCTTCTTTTTCCAGAAGTGATTTCTTATCACAGGACTTGAAAGTTTCAAAAGTGTTGGTATTATACAATGTTCCAAAAGCAGGACAGCAACGTGCTGGTATTGAAGCATTCCTGAATAAAATAAAGAAACCTCTGGGAATTGGATGCTAACACCTTTACCATGATCAGCAAAAGTAGCAGTAGCTTTCTTATGGTGTAAGGTTGCCCTGAAATTGTCAAATGATAAAGCACAGTAATAAAAATTAACAACAGTTCTAACGAAAATGTTTTTATGACCATAATGCTTTATGGAACATGGATTGGTATAAGAACCTGCGCAAATGCACAACTATATTATGACTTCAAAAATACAACAGGCATCTGTATTATCTCTAGCAAGGTGGCATTACATCATAGATTGACAATTTTAAAATTCTATTGAAATATAAACTATCCATGACAAACGTGATTTTCACTAAGAAAAAATTAAGACTGAACTTTAGATGTCAATATTTCATTCACATAAAGAGTTACTCAGTTAAAATTTTATGCTTAAAAGATAACCCAAAGGAAGCCTAAACCAGACAAAAGACTGACTAGCTTTTACAATTTCTAACATCACCACTGGGAGAAGGTGCTGTTCGTAAACAACAGTATATATTTTCCCCCCTCTTTTTGAATGCAAAATAGGTAAAAAACCCAACAATATTCCCTGATTTATTTGACTCCTTAAACATCTTTCAAATTGGTATGTTTCTGGCCACTGCTACAACTCAGAGCAAATGTTTAAGTTACATAATAAACACACATGATGTAGTTTCCAAAATTTTTTAAAGCTAAAAGGAAATTCTTCATGATCATCTAAACTGACTACCTAACGTACAGAAACAGAAGCACAGAAAATTACTACAGTATAAGGAATAATTAAGGACTGCATAAATGGTCCTTTCATAATTTTATTTTTGTCATAACATTTGAGAGACCAAATACCTTGATACCATCCATTTTTTCCTAATCTGAAATTCCTGTTCCAAATGCCACAGCTTTCTTCCAATTGCACTTTGCTGTATATGTGGTCAGTATCATACCTTAAAGTTCTTGCATAAGAATTAACGGAACAATAAGTCTTACAAAATTATCTCAAAATGCAGAAAGCCCCTAGGCTCCTAACATTCTTACCAAGCAAGGCAGAGAAAGTCACTTCTGTGATTTACAACTTCGTAATCCACCGATTTAAAACAAACAAGACAGTAACTACGAAGACATCTGTTCCTGTGTTAGTTATACTAACTTAGGCATTTGCTGGAAATTAAAACCATGTGAAAAAAATATTGTCCCTCATCTCATTTTTGCTGTGTATGCTGAGCAGCTTTGGTTCACCTTTCACTTTGGGGGTAAAGTACAAAATTCCAGTCATAAAAGTTCAAATATTTTGGAATATATTACAATGTTAGGAACTGTAAAAGATATTTTCAGATCCTAATTCTAATGATGAATCCTCAGTAAATAGAGATTTAAGGAAAAATGTTACCGTAAGTCAAATGACTGAAATATCCTCCCCTACACAGAAGAGAATATCCTTCTACACAGAAGAGCCAAAAAATGGAAAAAAAAATTGGTATTTTATATAAACATATATACAAACAGTGAGTGAATCTGAGACTTACCAGCATATTTTAAACTTGTCCCTTCAGATGAATACACTACTTCAGACACAGGGAGCTAACGTTTGTTACTCAAAGCAGTCTCTCCACTGTTATAGAGTTCATGAAAACATGTATTTATTTTCATGTGGAATTTGTCCAAGTATTATTATATATCAAAGCATTACTCTTATGTAAGGAAAGTGTCTTCACATACGAATTAAGGTAAACCACAGTACCTACTTACATATCAAAGGCACTAAACTCCAGTGTCAAGCGAGCTGGCAAACCCAAAGGATCACCTGGACAAAAAAACAGGAACATGCTTCTTTTAAACTGCAATATACAGATGAATTTGCCTCTTTTTGTTAATGTAAATTATCACCCAGCCGTGCTTTCTAACATTTTAGCAAAATACCTCAAATATCTTATGCAAATACTTAGAGGAATGACAGGAGAAACCCAAACTACTAAGCAAGATGTTCAGTTTCTACCTACCATTATAGTAGTATCCTTTGATAACTTTCGGGGTCTCATCTAATCGGTACTCATTGAGTTTCTTCTGGGTTAGTTCGTGCCAGAATCCTGCATCCAAGGCACTGCTGAAGGGAGCAAACTGCAGCTTTGAGATTCCAGCATCCACAGGATGGTACACCTCATTACTGGCAGTCGCCATGATTTTAGTTAATTACCGCTGTTAAACAGAGTTCTGTAAAAGCAGATACACCTGATAAGCTTTCAGTAGCCATGAGTAATATGGTCAATTGAGTATAAGCTTCTGCTTACTACATTTTGTTGGGTTAAAGTGTCGAAAGCCTTACTCCTCTATATGTATAAGTGACTCCAATTTTTAAAGTCATTGATCAGAGATCCTTTCAGTTCAAGCAAAGTCCTTCCCATTTCTTGTATGTAAAATTACAGAAGGCAACTATATGTTCTGCTTGGCCAAACTCCCTAGAATGATCTGATTTTCTGACAGACATTCCATGATTTCTCGTATTACTTAGGATACTACATCTGAACTATGTACTTCTGAGTTGTATCTTGTGTTATGCTGCCACAGATAAAAAAAACCAAAATGCTAAACCCTGTACCTGCATTACTTCTGTTATCTAAATATCTGCCTAAGAGCCTATTAGTACTATTTAAGTTCTAATGGCATTTGAAATTCAAACTAACATTTCATTTACCTAGGTCTTCACTCTCAGCTTGTGGTGAGAGTTGAGCACTCATAAAGCATTTACAAATCAACAAGTAAAGCTAGCAAAGGGAAACTAAAACCAAGAAAAGTCTTGCAGCCAGTGAAGGGCAAAGCTGGAAACAAAACCTAGAACTTCCTTAATAGGTGCACTAGCCCTCAGACAGTCAATGATGTCACGTAGAAGTTTAGATTATTTCCTTACATTTCTTCTCTCCTAAAGGTCTTTGCATATGGGGAGCATATTTTTTTTCCTTTATAACCCAAATCACCACTCCACATTGGCTGAATGGTATAGTATAGAATGGTATAGTCTTCAATTCACAACACTTACAAATTTCAGAATTTTAGGCGCTACCCCAGAATAAGGAGTAAAACATCTAAACTGGGCTATTAGAAGTCTCTACTTCAACCCGGCGTAACAGTCCCCTTGCTCACATTGGCAGCAGCATTCACTATTCAGCTCAGTCTGTGCATTTTCTTGAAAACGGATCAAATAAAAATGTTCCCCTCAAGAATCTCCTTTGCTTAATGTTAGTATTTCCTATTCGTGCCTATACCTACACATATTAAGACTCAAATTTCAGAGACATAGTCCATGACACAGAGTATTCAAAAGGGGAGGGAAGGTTATTACGCATTCCATTCTGTCTTTGACTACCTAGCTAAGATAAGCATAAATTGTTGCAAATCAAGAATGCGCTAGATATTAAAAATAACATTTTAAAATATTAGTTTTAAAACTCCTCACAAAGATATGAGCATATGCTATTTATCATACCACCTCCATCTACCAAGGTAGTAACTGCTGCTTTCCAAGGCCAAGAAGGGAGATGAACAGCTATTGATTTAGGTTTTGTTCACAATGCTTATCAAATCAAGCATTTGAACTTGAACAATATTGAAATGCTTCCTTCAATTAACTAATTTTTCAAGATTAAATGTTTTAGTTTGCACAACACAATCCCACGCGATTGGCTTTTGTTACCGATCCTTCACAGCACATGGATCAATGGGAGGATTGTACATATGGAAAAGTCAAAATAAGGTTCCCAGTCACAGCTATGTTACCTGACACCAATCTAAACAAATGCACTACAGTTTTGCTATACTATAGCTTGGATTGAAGAGTTCTAAGTTTATTGTCCTGTGAAGTCACTTGTACAACAGAAACAGAGCTTACATGCTTTTCTTTCATGTGTTTCAGAATGGGGGGAAGGGAACAAGAGGTAGGTTTAATTTCTTAATAAATACCAAACAGCTAGCTCTTCTCTGAAAGAATTACTCAAATGTGTAAAAGCTAATTTGAGAAAGACACAGTTATGCTTTTCCTTACACAACACTTCCTTAAACAAAGTCTTCAGTGTATCCAGCTATTCCTTCTAAACTCAGTTTATACAGTTTGTTGCCTTCTAGTGTGAATGCTTTCCTTACTTGCTAGTAAGTTGTAGAATGGGGTTTTCTGGGTACAGGTTTGAGGATTTCCATACTTTTCACGGTGAAAGCTATATGTTTCAGTTCTGTCATGGTCTTGCTTTAACCGGCATATTGCAAAAATGCCATTTTGTTTCCTCCATATCCCCGGTTTTGGTGTGTTCCCCCCCCTCCCCCCCTTTTCTTAGTTTCTAACAGCAGCTGGAATTTGTGTTAATGTGAATTTTGATAGCTTACTTGAAAAACCTCTGGAATATCTTTTCATTAGCATGTAAAAGAATCACTCCCTTTCTTTAAACTTTGCAAGTAGCAGAATTATAAACAGCAGAACTAATTGCATGGAATTTTCTAACCATTTTTGTAAATCTCTTTTTCTGTAAGTAGCAGAAGTCATCACATAAATTAGCAAACTTTTAACTTTTACTACTACATAGGTCTTAAGCCTTACAATTGTTTTTGTTTTGCAACTCTGTTACAGCAAGCTCAGCAGAAAACAGGCAAACAATTGTTTGTCACATAGGTGTTAGCAATAACAGAGTCAGATTACATGGTACTTGATGCCAAGACTTCCATAATAAAACTTTATTCAGAGGTTCAATAGCTGCCTAGTTAATATTAATACACCAAGTGTCCGTCCCCCCCACACACACACTTTCTCCAGAAGCTTGGGAAGGTATTACTTAATATTTTTTTTTTTTATTAATAACAAAAAGTAACATGAAGTTGTCACTTTCCTCACCAGACAAGCTCTATTAAAACTAAGTTTACTCATTTCAAATTTTCTTTAAGTTAAACATATCACCAGGGTAACAACTACATGGTAGGCAATAAAAACTTCTCCTATAACCTGGAGGATTAACCATTAAAAAAAGCTGGTGTTTCTTTTTCAACCTTTGGAACACAAAGTTTTCATTTTGCTTTTTTCTTTTTCTTTGTTGTTGTTAAAATAAGTACGTGACATACCCAGCACTGAAATATATTGTCAAACATTTTAAGCAATCAAGAAGCCAGCCAACAGAAGCTAGCAGTACCTGAGTAACAAACACTGAAACTACCAGCCTAAAAGCATCTCCACTGGGAATGAATTTTAACACCCTACTTATTTTTGTTATTACTATGCCTAAAGAGTTATTGTTATAAAACCAAAGGAATAAAAACAGGGGGCCTCACTGTACTATGCACATGCAAACAGAGAAGCATATACATTCACTTTTGATGTGTTGACACTTTTGAAAATATTCTTTAATGTATGTTGATGTAAATATTCACTCACATGTTTTCTTAACGCAAGAGCAGTAAGCCAAGGTAAATTTGTGCAACAGATTTTAGAATACTGAAATAAAAGATTAAATGTATACATTTTGCAGAACTTACAAAAAATCACATACAGCCTCTGATAATAGTAACAGTCACTAGGAGCATATAATAAAGAAAAAAAAAATCCAAAACTTTAAATGTAGAACAAACTCTGACTTTCAAAAGAGCCCAGTTGAAAAAAATGTGCTTGAAGTGAAAAGATTTACTTACTGTCTAAAGTACGATTTAGAAACACCTATTTGTAGCCAGTAGGAAATTTAACAAGTGTAATCAGCACAGATAACCCAAACTAAAAATGCACTATCACCAGTCTAAGTTCTAGTACTTCTTAAATATGCAGGCATTTAAAAGTGATCTACTGGAGGAATATATTAAGCGTCAAGACTTTTAACATTTGTCTTCCCCCTGACAGACATAATGCTGCAAAAGTATGATTAGCAGTTTGACAGCACTTAAAACCATCACGAAGTTACAGGTTTTACTCTGAATTCTCACAAACCCCTAAGATCTACAGCTTTTCTGCAGAAGTTTTTCTCCCGTGGTCCAGAGTTGAGCATTTTGAAGACCTCCTTGCATCCAGGGTGACAAAGGAAATGACTGTTTCCTACCACTACCTGAGGGGCACTTTCAGAAAAGCCGGTTGTTGGCTGATGGACGTTAAGCTCATCCGATATCCCATTTTCTCCCCAAGTCTTCCCGATTTCTAACGGCATGACTGACACAGAAAGCCGGCCCTTGGCACCCGGGGGCCCTGCTGCGGGGCCCG